GGAATACATGCTGCCTTTTTCCAGCACCGTAAACCAAGTTCTTTACGTCTTGGGCTAACATTATTGGCCAATTAAAGTCTACATCTGTTGCCGTTGTTACATATTATTTACAATTACAAGCAATCCTGCAAGCATTCATCTCAAACCTTCTTGCTGCAGGGGATACGTGGGAACACTGGAGATTATGGACATATAGGAGAACCTGGGCCTAAGGTGAGTGGCTTCGTTGTACAGTCCCTTGGTTTGCATTGTTGTACAGACCCACTCAACGGTCAACTCGCATCCCACAGGGTGAAGGCGGCATCAAAGGAGAAAAGGGCATGAGAGCACCTCGTGGTCGGGAGGTAATACATCATACAACTGCAGAGCACCATTTTGATGGCCTTGTAGCTTTGCATCCAAAGATTTGCAATAACAAATCTTCTTCTCTCTCACAGGGTGACAGAGGACCCAAAGGTCTGAAAGGGCTAATAGGAGCTTCAGGTCATAAGGTAAAAACAGCATTATTGTAGTCTACTAAATCACAAGCTGGTTGCACAAGCTTGCAGATTGTGGTTTGTTATTTTTGCAGATTTTTTTTTATGTAATACATGTGTTGTGCTGTATCATAGCTTGAGCATATCAAGGTAACCAATGCAATGTATGTTGTGCATCGTATCAAAGGGAGTGCGAGGGTCACCTGGAGAGAGGGGTGAAACTGGCCAGCAGGGGGAAGTTGTAAGTTCTGTTGGAAAACACTTTGCTTCGATAAAATATATGTGAGATGGATTGTGTAATTGGGGATATGAATGACTCATTCGCTCCCCACCACATCTCCCAGGGTGCAGCAGGAGAATGGGGATACGAAGGGATTGTGGGCTATCAGGGCGTGAAGGTATTTTTGCTCCCCCACTCTGGTTTGTTATTGTCTCTAAAACATTTGTTGCTGTGTTTAGTTGAAAATCTCACAATTCCCATTCATTCTTGGAACAGGGAAACGAAGGCTTACCCGGAGTTGAAGGATCTCGAGGGCCACGGGGTCGCCAGGTATAAAAACAGGCTGGAGACCTTCTGCATTGTGCTGCATGACATTTAAAATCCATGGGCTTATCTTAAATTTAATGTGCACATTTCTGTTTTCATGGAAGTCAAGGTGTAAAGGACTCTGCGGGTGAATCTCACTAAAAACAAATGTTTGGGTCGTATTTGATCCCAAAATCAAAAATGAAAAAAGGGGTGAAATAACTTTGTAAATAAACAAAATAAAGACTTTTAGGATATTAGGACTATTATTAGGATTGTTATTATTATTATTATTAAAATGTTACAGGCTGGTAAAAGGAATGCAGAGCTTCAGGGAAACACCACACGTTTGAAATTCCTGATCTTTTGGGGTTTGAAGAGGAATGAAACTGGCTGCAGGGACACAATTTAAACATCAACAAAATTGTTTACAAATGCCAGCTTTGAAAAATATGGTGGTCTGAGGAAAATTAAAGCTCAATTCAATGTTTCTATGGTCACATACATACATATTGTAATGTTTTTTTTTTTAATCATACAAACGTCATGGGAATTTGACTGCATGTTTATATTCTTTCTCTGCTCTGTGACAGGGGATTGTGGGAGATCCCGGTGAACGAGGAACAGCTGGAGAAAAGGGAAAGCTAGTAAGTATTCTAGTTGTCACCAAATCATGTTGCTTTAAACAATCCGTTGGAAGATGGAAACATATTGATGGCACATACAGTACATATCTTTTTTTACTCTTCACAGGGTATTCAAGGCCCAAAAGGAAATGTTGGTGGGATTGGGGAAAAGGTTGGTTACTTGTCAACCAGTCATCATGACAAATACTTTGTTGACCAATAAATTGAAAGTCTAGTGCTGATTCTTTTGAATATTTCAGGGTATAGTTGGTGATCCAGGCTTGCTAGGGCGAGATGGAGATACTGGGATTGAGGTACAGATTGTCCTTTCAGCTGAACTTTGTCAGGACTTCAGAAATAACTTTTTAATCTCATGGTATTACCATGTGCAGGCTTATCAAGGACCACAGGGACCTGAGGGAAGACATGGACAAGTTGGTGAAAGGGTAACCTAACACTTCTTGACATGTATTCATCCCCTGATACACACAATTGCATTTTTACACTACTATTTAGCTACTAAATGTACAGCACCACAGCAAAGTTATGTTTTAGTTATAAATTGTAAGCCCGAATTTGATGAACAAAAGACTGAGCAACACAGAACTCAAACTACCAAAGAGTTCTCTCCAGTGAATCAGTTAGAACAGCTCTTCACTTACTGTATTGTAAATCTTTATTTTGTTGTTAATTGTTAATATATATAATTATATTAAATACATTTAAAAAGCTGAAAGAATCATCTAAGGAAATCAGCAATGGAAAAACTACTGCTAAATTCCTTTAAGACTCCCATCTCTATAGAAGCATCTGTCTGATTAGGTGTAGTTGTGTGTGCTTATGTAACATGCTTGAATGTTTTACACAGGGTGAAAAAGGCGAACAAGGGCCTTCGGGGGAAATGGGCCCTCCTGGACTAACAGTAAGTGCTCGTGTGAAGAAATGACCACTGCACTGAGCTATATGTGACTTCTGTAAATACCACCTTAATATTTTACCTTGGACTTTTATGACATAAAAATACACCCTGCCTTCTGGTAGATTTATAAAGTGCTATAATCTCCAGGGGCCGCAAGGTTACAAGGGCTCTGCTGCAAAGCCAGGAAGACCAGGATTTATTGGGCCCCCTGGAAGAACGGTGAGCTATATTCCAAATATTCCAAAGTTTTTGAAATAAAAGTTCATACCCTCCAAAATGCTAAAACATGCCATGTCTTCATAGGGGCACATGGGAATACCCGGCAGACCAGGCCCCAAGGTAATGATCTCCACTAAATTATGAAACTCAAATTTAACACAATTTTGCCTCATTAAAAGGGCATTTTGAATCTTGCAAGAGCCTGCAAACATATTATATGTAGGCTTATTATATATAAGTTCATCAAAGTTCTGTCATGCAGAAAACTCACTGCGGATGTATAAGATCACGTGTCAGTATTGGCTTAGTGTAGCCAGATATCCCAGGATCCAGAGTCTAAAATAAATTGGGGAAAAAATGAGGCCCACATTTTCTTTTTCAGAGTCCTGTTGGCATCTATACATATTGAATCACCATGCTATGAGTATTCACAGTGACCGGCAAACCATATGATGTGATGGACAACCATATAAACACTTGTGAAATGTATACTAACACAGCGTGTCATCAGATTTGTTTAAGCCTTGACAAATTGCTGCAATATCATCTTGAGAAGGGGGAACTGACCTATTCACACACAAAAAAAGTGAATGCAGAAAAGCCAGAACACACCTGCCATCATCTGAAAGCACAGAACGTGTCACACTCTGAGCAGCACAGCTCTTCACTGGTTAGCACAGCAATTTTTGGCCGCTTATACGGTGACTTGGCTCTGGGTACAGTCACCCTCCGCTGATATCTAAACTTCTGAGAAGATCTCCACACTCCATTTAAACCTGTCGCTGCAGACAAGACTTTTCATCAACATACAGTATATGAAAATAATGTAATATTCACATGGGCTCTAGCATTAGATGGTGAAGGATCATATGGTGTTCATATAGAACCACGTCTTTTCCTTCGGTGGTCATCTGTTATCTAAATATTATTTCAGCATCACATGGATTACTGATGACCCCTAACTGCTGTAAAGACACATTTACCAGAACATATTTTGTGCAATTTGAACAACTGGCCATCAAGGTAACAGCCTGATGCTGTATTAACAATGTTATATAAGGTAATATGTAATATACATAGTTAGAAAATGGAAGGTACTCAAAAGTTAGAAAATGGAAAGTATCGGTTTTGTGCCTGCCACTTTTCATTTTCGTAAAAGAAATGGGACATTCAGTCTTGAATTCAAATGTGTACCCATCCAGAAAGAATTATAAAAATAGTCATTGGTAGCAGAAACATTGTAGCATACACTTGGAACATCATGTTCGTTGTGTAGAGCGTCTGTAGAGTAGTTGAGAGCCAGAATATACAAAATTAGATCTCAGGCTGATGTGTCAAATTCCAGGGCAATTTTCCGATTAGGACACATTACACCAAATTGGTTTCCTCTGCGTTTTACAGCGCTCGTTTCACACAAACACAGAGCGATGAAGAGCATCACCATAATTTCAGGGTTTCCTCTCGCAGCACCTTGACAAGTTATTTTGAACTACAAATCACATTTATTGGATCAAATCCACAAGGCAATTGCAAATGTTGCTTTTGTATCTTCCAGGGTGACACTGGCATTCCAGGGGTCCAGGGAAGCAAAGGGGAGAAGGTAGTCGTTGACTCAAATGCATCTCATTTCCTGTTGACACATTTCCATTATCATGTGGTTCTAGTTTCTCACAACGCCACATTGTTTCCACAGGGTGCAAAGGGAGTCAAAGGACCTAAAGGCAGGGTAAGACTGTCTCAGAGATTGTTCACATTTCTGTTTAATTAACACCATGGAGATGACTTCTAAGCATTTGCAGCAATGGGTCTGGTCTGTCCACAACAGCAGCAGAAATCTAGTTGGATTACTTTTAGAAAGCTAGTTTTGGAAAGACACAACTGATTGCCACATCAGCGTATTGTTTGAGTTCCATTTTGTATTTCTTTCCAGACGTTCTGTCGAGATATCATTCAGAAATGTGTACACAGTATAAAAGTGAACTTGCTTGTTTATGGGTGTGTTTGTATTTGTTTGTTTTCCAGGCAGGAGATGCCGGTGTGCCAGGGCAACAGGGAAGTAGAGGAAAGCGAGGCCCTGCTGGAGAATCAGGTAGAAAAGGCCCTGTAGGCTCCAAGGGAGTGAGGGGAGACGGTGGTCCAGTGGGCTTTCAGGGCCCACCGGGCCCACCAGTAAGTCTGAAAATCCAACTCACAACACATAACGGATCTTTTTCCTGTTGCATGCTATGGTCAGAAACAGTACAAAGAGGAAGAGACTGACATTTTGAATTAGAGAAATCATAAGACTTGACATACAAGATATGAAAAGAAAGTCTTGTCCCTTTCATTTCAAAGAGCCAGTCAACTTATTGCTTAAAGGCACTGCCTCGTCTTACTGCTCTACAATGTGCAAGGGTTGGACAGACTGGAGACAAAATATGTTTTTTAAGCCAGATTAAAAATGCAACCTTTGATGATATACAGCGTTGGTGACTTTAGATGTTATGTTACTGAAACATAAGCAGGGCTGGGTATCGCCAACACGTTGTGATATGTCTGATTAATGAATGTCTGTTTACGTTTGCATTTCTCCAGCCGACTAACAAGCATCACCTTCAGACAAAGCCTTCAAAGCTTCTGGGAGATTCAGCATTTGTGGCACTTGGCGTAGCATGCATGAAATATGTGGTAACCATTTTGGTGTCAAGATTGCTAGTAAACGCTTTCTCATTAGTGCGGCTTTCTCTGCCGCTCAAGGCAAGGTTTTCATTTAGTGTGGTTGTAAATCCATAACGAGGCTGGTGAAATATTGTTGGCTGTATTTGTTTCTCCTTCATTACACAGCCACCCACGGGCGAGAAGTGCTCTGATCTGAGCTCCATGTTTCAGTGGTAATGATCTCTTTCTTAGGGCCCCACTCTTCCTGCTCAACATGTTATCGAGGTCTGCAAGAGGGTGGTGCTGGAGCAGATGTCCACATTCGCCAACTCCGTGAAAAGGACTTGTGCGGCCGTGTGCCCGCTCTATGGAGATGTGCCAATGGGCGCTCCAGGTCCCTCAGGGCCAAAAGGACCACCTGGACCTCCAGTAAGTTACCCACCTCCGAGAAGAATAACCTCACAACAACCCTGGAACAGTCTTAATTTTGCTTGGCCTGGGAAACAAAAGGCATTTAGACGTGGTTTGTTTTAGACATCACAGTTAACACATGTTAAACCTATTTTTGCCATAGTAAACTAAGGAAGAACATGGTCCATACATCATTCTTCTAGGTCAAGTCTGATATGTACAGTGTGAAGGCCTCTAGAGAGCGTGCAGCAGTGTTTGGCAGTATAGGTTGGAATTAAAACATTCAGAATTTCCAAGTCCCCGTGAAGACAAATAGGAAGTCACAGACGAGGCACTTGCTCTGTGTTGAATGTTTTTTGGAGAGAATCCCACCTTCACCCAAGTGGAAAGCCTTTCCGTATTTCTCAAGCAGATCTTTTTTTCAGACTTCTTGAACATTTTCACTCGAGAGGCCCAAAGGCGAATAAAAGTTCACAGAGCCTCAAATTCAAACATGTAAAACGTAAAAGGTTGTAAAATTGAGGGTTATGAAAAAAAATAACTGCACAAGGCATAAAGAGGTTTTCTTTTCAGCATAGCAAAAAATCTACAGACACTTTGATTCTAGAATTCTAAAGGGATCGTTCACCACTATCATTTACACACCCTCGTGTTATTCCAAACCAGTATGACTTTCTTCCTTGGAACGCATAAGATGTTTTGCAGAATGTCTAAGCTACTATTTTCCAAATAACAAAAGTACACATCTGCCAGTGGCTGTAAAGCAAAAGTTTCACAAAAGTCTCTTTGTACCCATGAGCAAGGCTGCTCCAGGGGGACCACAACTGTTGCTTTGGGGGAAAAAAGTGTCTGCTATATGACTAATTACTAACAAACAAGTAAATTTGCAACTATTTCTGCAAATACTTTTATTATAGGGTGATTCTGGCATTGATGGCCTTAAGGGAGAAATCGGGCAGCCCGGATTCTACGGAGAATCTGGTGACCAAGGAAGACAGGGCTCAACAGGTAAACCATCTTCACTCTTTAGTCCAAACGGTAGCTTATTGTACCAATACAAGGGTGGTCCACCATGTTGGTGCCTTCACATTAAATAAATGCTGTTGCACTGATGTCAGATAGCATAACAAGTCACAAGTAAAGAACGTGCCAAGATACAGAGGAACAATGATGCTATGAAGGGTATCTGCCTGTATTGCTCTTGGCTGTGTTCATGCATGATGAACTAGCATAACAAATACTTCTCAGCTGGAAAAACTCCTCAAGTGAGCAGATATGACAGATTCACATTCGCAAGGAACTGTTGTCTTTTGGAATGGGATGTTTCATGAAATAAATATGAATCAGCGCATGTGTCCTTAAGCAATGTTAGTCTGCAAGCATCAGCAGAAGAAAAGTATAGCTTTATTAATCATGAGCAGATGTGTAACTCCTCTGCCAAACTGCATTAATGAGGCAAATGAGTATACAGGTGCAATTGAGGAATAGATCAAACAAAATGTTTAAAGAAAACTTACCAATGATATTATAAATGAAAAATAAAAAAATAAAAAAATATATATGTACACACACACACACACACACACACACACACACAC